AATAAATTTTTAGTCAAAAAATATTTGCTTATCCCCTCCAAAAACTTGATGACGTCAGCTCAAAAGTTTGTGGAATAAATCATATCTAAAATGTACAAAATATGATGAGTCTGTACTTGTGATCTATCACTCCATTCATATTTTTTGGATTTGCATATACAGGGTGACTCAAAAAAATTAATGAATGCGTAAATTTATTTTACTGATCTACTCAGAAACTACAAAACCGAATGCTTTGAAATCTTGCAGATGTTTTAAGGTTATAAAGAGCATAATAAATGTTTAGACAAAATATATTTGCTTATCCCCTCCAAAAAATTGATGACGTCAGCTCGAAAGTTTGCCGAATAAATCCTATCTAAACTGTAAAAATATGATGAGTCTGTACTTGTAATTTATCACTCCATTCATATTTTTTGGATTTGCATCTACAGGGTGACTCAAAAAAATTAATGAATGCGTATATATATTTTATTGGTTTAATCAGGAACTACAAAACCGAATGCTCTGAAATCTTGCAGATGTTTTAAGGTCATAAAGAGCATAATAAATGTTTAGTCAAAATATATTTGCTTATCCCCTCCAAAAACTTGATGACGTCAGCTCGAAAGTTTGCCGAATAAATCATATCTAAAATCTACAAAATATGATGAGTCTGTACTTGTCATTTATCATTCCATTCATATTTTTTGGATTTGCATATTCAGAGTGACTCAAAAAAATTAATGAATGCGTAAATATATTTTATTGATTTAATCAGGAACTACAAAACGGAATGCTCTGACATCTTGCAGATGTTTTAAGGTTATAAAGAGCATAATAAATGTTTAGTCAAAATATATTTGCTTATCCCCTCCAAAAACTTGATGACGTCAGCTCGAAAATTTGCCGAATAAATCATATCTAAAATGTACAAAATATGATCAGTCTGTACTTGTGATCTATCACTCTATTCATATTTTTTGGATTTGCATATACAGGGTGATTCAAGAAAATAAATGAAAGCGTAAATTTATTTTACTGATTTACTCAGGAACTACAAAACCGAATGCTTCGAAATCTTGAAGATATTTTAAAATTATCATAAGCATGGTATATTTTTGATCAAAATGTATTTGGTCGTCCCCCCTAAAAAATGTATGACGTCACCACAAAATTTTGCTGAATAAATCCTATCTAAAATGTACAAAATATGGTGAGTCTCTTCTTGTGATTTACCATTCCATTCAAATTTTTTCGATTTGCATATACAGGGTGACTCAAAAAAATTAATGAATGCGTAAATTTATTTTATTGATTTAATCAGGAACTACAAAACCAAATGCTTTGAAATCTTGCAGATGTTTTGAGGTTATAAAGAGCATAATAAATTTTTAGTCAAAATATATTTGGTTATCTTCTACAAAAAACTGATGACGTCAGCTCAAAAGTTTGCCGAATAAATCGTATCTAAATTGTACAAAATATGATGAGTCTGTACTTGTGATTTATCATTCCATTCATATTTTTGGATTTGCATATGCAGGGTGACTCAAAAAAATTAATGAAAGCTTGAATTTATTTTATCGATTTAATCAGGAATTACAAAACCGAATGCTTTGAAATCTTGGGAATATTTTAAAGTTATTATAAGCATGGTAAACTTTTGTTCAAAATGTATTTGTTCATCCCTCCTAAAAAAATTGATGACGTCACCCTTAAATTTTGCTGAATAAATCCTATCTAAAATGCAAAAAATATGATGAGTTTGTACTTGTGATATATCATTCCATTCATATTTTTTAGATTTTCTTAAGAGGTGGTTCAAAAAAAGGCGCCGTATACCTGAGTAAATTGTTTCGTTATTTTATTGATTATAAGAAATCAATATTCAAAACGACCCAATTCATTTTCCCGAAAATTTGGGAATACAATAATTTTATTCTTAGTATTACACTACATCTATCCCAACTGATATACGTGTCCTTGCAAAAATGTTGATGACGTCATCATAATTTTTTTTTAAATTCCCACTACAAAAATGTAATGAGAAAAAAAAAACACAATAGGCATGCAGTCGTCAAGTTTCCGACAGCGAGGGAAGTACTGTCTAAACTCTTTAGACCAATTTTTTCGTAATATACTTAGTCGTCTTTTCAGAACACAAAACTTAAAACACGTTTAAAATAATAAATTCTTCTAGACAAATTTCGATCTTGCAATTAAGCTCGGCCCCTCGATCTGACAACGAATGAAAAATGCATCACAATTGAGAACTAAGATCGAGGCCGATATGGGTGGGGTCTAATCTTTGGCTTTATATTTTTCTTAATCTACATAGTATTCTTTGAACAACACATCTCTCAGAAACATGTTTTTAATTTCTCGTAGGGACATAAGGATTTTGCAGTTAAGCCGTGTTCCTTTGTCTCACGACGAATAAAAAAATCATCACAATTGCGATAGGGCGGGTGGGCGGGGCTATATTTTGCCTTTTTTTCTTAGTATGTGTAGACTTATTTCGACAACAAGAAACTTAAAACATACATGATCGTTTTCCGGGTTGGAATCGTGTTAATTGCGTTTTTGGGGTCAACGTTTCGCACACTTTCGTAAGTGGCATCCTCAGGAGCAGAGTTAAGAATAAGGAAAAAGAGCACTGATAGAGTACTGAGTTACCGTATACTAAACCATATATTACTTCCCGAGCGTAAGCAAAGGAAGTATTGTAATCGAGTCCGTCGGTCGACTCTCTACTTTTACGTTTTCTCGATCTTTCATGACCCCTAGAAGACGAAGAAATAGGTCTCCCATTTCCGTCTGTCTGTCCGTCTGTCCGTCTGTCCGTCTGTCCGTCTGTCCGTCTGTCCGTCTGTCCGTCTGTTGTCCCGGATTTTTATTAGACAGATAATCTCCGAAAGTACTCGACCGATTGTTGTGAAATTTTGTACTTATATTAAGAATATCATGTAGATGGTAAAACGCTAACTAAAATTTGTCTAATCATCCCCACCACTAATGCGATGACGTCACTTCAAAATTGTACATAGTAAATAGGTCTTAAATTGTATAAAAAACATAGTCCTACACATGTAGTTTACGACTCCGAATTCAGTTTTTACCCGAAACGTCCAGATTTTTGGAAAAAAAATCAAAATTATAAAACAACATTTTGCAATTTAATTTTGAATCTGCTAACCCGAATGTTTTGAAATGTTGCAGATGTTTTAAGGCTCTAAAGGGCATCATAAATCTTTAGTCAAAATATATTTGGTTATCCCCTCCAAAAACTTGATGACGTCAGCTCAAAAGTTTGCCAAATAAATCCTATCTAAAATGTACAAAATATGATGCGTCTGTGCTTGTGATATATCACTCCATTCATATTTTTTGGATTTGCATATACAGGGTGACTCAAAAAAATTAATGAATGCGTAAATATATTTTATTGATTTAATCAGGAACTACAAAACCGAATGCTCTGAAATCTTGCAGATGTTTTAAGGTCATAAAGAGCATAATAAATGTTTAGTCAAAATATATTTGCTTATCCCCTCCAAAAACTTGATGACGTCAGCTCGAAAGTTTGCCGAATAAATCATATCTAAAATGTACAAAATATGATGAGTCTGTACTTGTCATTTATCACGCCATTCATATTTTTTGGATTTGCATATACAGAGTGCCTCAAAAAAATTAATGAATGCGTAAATATATTTTATTGATTTAATCAGAAACTACAAAACGGAATGCTCTGACATCTTGCAGATGTTTTAAGGTTATAAAGAGCATAATAAATGTTTAGTCAAAATATATTTGCTTATCCCCTCCAAAAGCTTGATGACGTCAGCTCGAAAATTTGCCGAATAAATCGTATCTAAAATGTACAAAATATGATGAGTTTGTACTTGTGATTTATCATTCCATTCATATTTTTGGATTTGCATATGCAGGGTGACTCAAAAAAATTAATGAAGGCGTGAATTTATTTTATCGATTTAATCAGGAATTACAAAACCGAATGCTTTGAAATCTTGGGAATATTTTAAAGTTTAAACTTTTGTTCAAAATGTATTTGTTCATCCCTCCTAAAAAAATTGATGACGTCACCCTTAAATTTTGCTGAATAAATCCTATCTAAAATGCAAAAAATATGATGAGTTTGTACTTGTGATTTATCATTCCATTCATATTTTTTAGAATTTCTTAAGAGGTGGTTCAAAAAAATTAATGAAGTCAATTTATTTTATTGATTAAATTAAAGGCAACACTTATTATTAGTATTACACCCCAACCAACCCAATTTGGTAGACACAAAATTTGTTAAAGGAAAAACTCGGTTGAAACATAAGGGTAGCACGCTTATTTACATCGACTTTAACATTACAGACCTGCATTTGTTTTATGCGATCACTTGGTTGCGCGAATGTGAAATAGACATGTTTATAATCAACCAATTGTGAATTTCACCGACAAGAATTAAAATAAAACCCAATGTTTTGTATAAAAAGCGGAAGTCGAAGCAATAAAACCGATGGTCGTGTTGTTTACAGTTTCTCTGTTCGACTCTCACGTATGCTGTTACGCTTGTCATCCTCAATTAAGAATGTTTATACATAAACCATTTTCAGTTGCCGTATACACGAGTAAATTGTTTCGTTATTTTATTGATTATAAAAAATCAATATTCAAAACGACCCAATTCATTTTCCCGAAGATTTGGGAATACAATAATTTTATTCTTAGTATTACACTACATCTATCCCAACTGATATACGTGTCCTTGCAAAAATGTTGATGACGTCATCGCAATTTTTTTTAAATTCCCACTACAAAAATGTAATGAGAAAAAAACACAATAGCCATGCAGTCGTCAAGTTTCCGACAGCGAGGGAAGTACTGTCTAAACTCTTTAGACCAATTTTTTTTATTGTGCACCTGTTAGTGATTAGTATTTGCAACACTATTATGTATGCAATAGTACCATACAGATGACATATATAAATAACTCTTTATTCCCTTTAAACAAAAAAGCTCTTCGCTGGTACTTCTTCTAAAACGTTATTAAACCACTTTAGAAAATCCACCGTAAAATAATTCGGAAATAGTCCTTGCAGGTAGTCGACAGCTTCGTTTCCATTTTGGTTAACTCTGGCGTTTAGAGCATCATTCTCGAATTGGTTATCAAATATCCCCGTGTAATTAAATATAGCTTCCTTCGGTACCATCTTCAACGTACTGTTGACCGCTCTAAAATACACGGTACCATTTCTTCGAACTTCTTGCAAGTAGAATATTAGTTGAAATGTTGGTTCAACTGAAAAACACAAACATCAATGATTGTTACTCACCTAGAAAAATATTATCTCACCTAAATGAACACTACTATTTCGACTTAGCACGTCCACAGGGATGGTGACAAACCTGCCACGTAGTCTATAATCAAACGTTGCAACAATATCATTGAAAGTAACATTTATAGCCAAAATTTCCGACGCAGGACTGAATCTGCAAAGAACTATCAAATTCGGTTTGTTTCACATTTTTACTGTAGTACGTAGCGTTAGTCGAATTGATGTTCGTAAATCCAAAAATTTCAGCGTTGCTATAGGTTTGTCGAAGACCGGTTTTCGAGTTTCCATATGCGGCAGTATGTCCTGGCTTGAAAGGATCGATTACTGGGAGATCGTAGTCGGGTATTGGCTCTTTCATCTGTATGATGGCACGTTCAATGGCATCTGATAGACACTGGTTGAAACTCGGAAGGTTTATATCACATCTTCCAATAAAATTTGGTACTACGAAATGTTTCTGTTTTGAGAAAAATGGAAAAAATGTAGTTACCTGGTTCCAAGCAGGAGACAAAGACTATGAGGGCTGGTGGAAGAATTAACGACAAAGTTTTCATTTTTCCTACTACCATATGGTGTCGAAGGTTTCTGTATTTATAGCAGAACTGATTTTTTTTTTTTATGGCTACATTTGTGTCACTAATTACTCAATTAGCTACATTACTTAATTGCAGTTATAGGTGAATTATGTAATTCATGCGTTAAAACGTAAACAGCCTACATTATGACACCTCTAGTAGATATTCCTAAAAATTTACGAGCACTTGCACTTCATTATCTACAAATGAATTATGTTAAGTTTCTAAAATTATAATTTGTGTAGCAAACTAATATGTTAAGATCTTTATTATCATCTTTATCCTAATACGTGTAGCAATAAATAGCCACTATCCTCCCCTATAAATATCGGGTTTCGAACCAATTTTTTACCAACAGAAATGAAAACTCGTTCGCTAATTTTCGTAGCGGCTCTCATAGCATGCTGTCACGGCATGGGACTAGGTAAATTTATTTTCCCCACGTTACACCCAAATTTTTCTTCTTTTTTAGTGAGTTTTAGAAGATGCTATCTACGATCTTCCAATTTCAACCAATGTTTGTCGGATGCCATCCAGCAGGGAATCATCCATCTCCGCAGACCACTGCCTGAATACAACATCCCACGTCTTGACCCATTCAGAACAGGCGACTATTTTCAACACTTTGGGGACGAAAGAACCGGACTTGTACAAAGCTACGGCAATTTTATAATTGTCGGATTCACGAACATCAACTCCACTAATGCTACGTATGGAAAGAAGATTAAATCTTCATAATTAAAAAAATAACTAGTTTTGTTGCAGGTTTGACCCAGTGTCGAGAATTTTATCTATAAATGTTACGTTCAACGAGCTGTTTTGTACCTATGATTTAGGTTTGCACGGTCGCTTTATTGCCATGCCGGTGGATGTAATCAGCCGAAATAATACAGTAATTCTTGGTACATAGATAGGTTTCGTAAAAACACCAGTTTTTATTTTTATTCGTTTTAGTAAGGCCTGTTTTTGAACTAACTTTCAACTTTCAAGAAGTCACCAGGAATGGCACGCAGTATTTTAGGGCTATCGACAGTACGCTGAATATGGTGCCAGAGCAGACCAAATTCAATTACACGGGGCTATCTGACGATCGATCCTTCAATGATTTTCTTAATACCTTGCTTAACCAGGACGGAAATGGGGGCCTCGATTTTTTGCAAGGGCTTCTTCCACAGTTTTGGACAAATTTTTTTATTGTGTGGCTTAATAATGTTTTGGATAGGGTGCCGATTTCGAGTTTAATGTAAATCAAACAGGGTTGTTACTGATTATTATTGTTGAATTGTGTTGCCAAATATAAGATAATATTATCATCAAAAACAAAATTGTTTCACTTTTCTCTAGCCGAAGATCTTTTTATTATTTCTGCTTAATTTCTAGGACCCGGATTTTCGGCACAATGATGCCTTTTTATTATTAAAAATTCTTAATTTCGACTTTTAGAGGACTATTTCTGATAATTTAAAGAACTAAGTATTTTGGCCATCTGTTATCAAAATTTTAACCGCTTAGAATCCGGTCGTTAGTAATTTGTGTTTAACGAGTCCAAAGTTTTTCGATTGGGCATAGTTCTGACCAGTTTAGAGGGTTATATTCTGGTGCTAAAATTTTTGTCGAATTTTTGTGATGGCATAGAGAATATGGGAAGATCCGATTAAATTTCTAGAAGATCGGAAATAATCCGAATGAATACGAAAGGATCCGAAAAAAACCAAAGAACCCAAGGAATCGAAGGAACACAAAAAACGCACGAAATTCAAAAAATTGGACTAAAAAGACGAAAAGGAGGAAAAGAACGAAGGGTATGAAAAGGAAAGAAAGGAGGAAAAGGACGAAAAGAACGAAAAAGACGGAAAGGACGATTAGGACGATAAGGACGAAAAGGACGAATAAGACGAAAAGGACAAAAAGGAGGACAAGAACGAAAAGGACGAAAAGAAAGAAAAGAAAGACAATAAAGAAAAGGGAGACAAGGACGAAAACGACGAAAAAGACGAAAAGGACGATAATGACGAAAACGACGAGAAGGACGAAAAACATGAAAACGACGAAAAGGACGAAAAGGACAAAAAGGAGGAACAGCACGAAAAGGACAAAAAGGACGAGGCTGAGGATTATGTTGTTCTGAGGATTTGAGAATTCTGGTGTTCTGAGGAACTGAATATTATAGAGTATAAATAAAGCTCGGAACTATATGCAGAAAAAACATGTAAATATGCGCATATATACGCAGAGAAATTTCACATTATATGAAAAAAATTGCAAAAAAAAGCAAGATATATATGCAAAGTATGCAAGAGAAATTATTTTTTCTTCAGCCGTCTCAAAACATGACATTTTTAATGACAATTTCAACAGTAAAAGTAGACGTTTTTGTAATTAGGAAAAACACTTGTGTTACTAGGGCAACATTCACTTTTAATCCTAGGATTTAAAAGTTTTTATATGCTAGGATTCGACTAAATCAATAAAACAAATTTACGCATTCATTATTTTTTTTAATCACCCTGTATAAGCAGATCCAAAAAATATGAATGGAGTGATAAATCATTAGTATGAAGTACAGATTCATCATATCTCATCATTTTAGATAAATAATATATTTTGAATAAAAATTTAATATGCTTATCATAACTTAAAAATATCTGGAAGTTTTCAAAGCATTTGGTTTCGTAGACAGACGGACAGATGGACAGACGAACAGACGGACAGAATCCGAAAAAATCTGAGAAATTTCTAAAGAACCCGGAAAGAAAAATACCCGTCTAAGAGAATCCAAAAATAATTCCAAAGAATCGGAAGGAATGCGCTAAGAATCTGAAAGAAAACGAGATAATCTGGAAGAGTGAATCTGAGAATAACTGACAGAATTCGAAAACAATACAAGAGAATCTAAACTAAATTTCGACTAAATTTCGTGAGGATTGCAGAAACTCCGAAAGAATTCAAGAGAATACGAGAGATCCAGAGAATGTCAGACAAAATCCAAAAAATTACAAAAAGAATCCGAAAAATCCGTAAAAATACAAGAGAATACGAGAGAATTCGGCTACATTATAGGAACCTAGGAAACCTAAGAAACAAAAACTAAATTAACATATTTTAGCGTTCTAGAGAATCCCAAATAATTCAATAGAATCCGAAAGAATAAAAAAAGTGGACCGAAAAGAATATCGCATAATAATTTGAAAGAAGCCGAAAAATATACAAGGAATCCGAAAGAATATGAAAAAATATGAATGAATAGGAATAATATGAGAAAATTCCACCAAATTGCGACAGGACCGGCAAAAATCAAATTCCGAGAGGATTAAACAGAATCTGGAAAGAAGCTGAAAAATATGCAAAGAATTCTCAAAAATCTGAAGAATCTGGAGGAATCCGACAAAACTGTAATGAATAAAAGAAAATCAGACAGAATCCAGAAGAATAAAAAGATTCCGAGAAAATCCGACACAATCCAAAGGAATCAGAGAAAATCCGACGGAATCCGAAAGAATACGATAAGAATACAGAAGAATATTGGAGAATCCAAAAAAATTTAAGTGAATACTCGCGAATCCGACCAAATTTAGAGAGAATCTCGACGAATCCGAAAGATCTGAGAAAATTGAACATAATCCGAAAGAATACGAGAGAATACGAAACACGCAAAAAATTCAAAATGTTCCAAAGAACCTAAGAGAATTTGAGAAAATTCGTGAACATAAATGTAAATCCGAAAGAATACGGGATAATGGGAAAAATCCGAAAGGATCCCCGAGAATTCGGGAGAAAGAAAAGGATCCGAAAGAATTCGAGAGAATCTGACCAATTTTCGAAAGAACCGAATAAAAACCTGGTCAAATTCTCGAGAAATTCCAGCGGAATCCAAAAGAATACGAAAAGAATCGGAAAAGAATCCGACTGAATTTCGAGCCAAATTCCAAAAAATTTGAGAAAATCGATAATAGTCTGAGAAAATCCAAAAGAATCTGAAAGAATCCGAGCGAATTCGGAAGAATCCGGAAGGATCAAAATAAGTAAATCTAGGAGAATCCGAAAACAGTTCGAAAAAATTTCAAAGTAGGTATACGTGAAAATCTGAAAAAATACGAGATCGGAAAGATGTCAGAGTATGACATGTGGTAAAATTTGGCCAAAATATAGGTTAGTGATGATTTATCTAGGACTCTTCAATTGTGTAGTTGCTATAAGCGTAAAAATTGGAACAAAATCATACTTTTTATTCACTGTCGGTGTTTTGTTGGTTGCCTACTAAAAAAAGTAGCCCATGGCTTCTACTTCTTCTGGGCATAGAAGACACTCCACAACAATGGCCCCAACTCGGATCCTTGTGGAATGCCTGTTGCCACTTTCGATGTCACCAGATATTATTCTATGTAACTAAATCTACAAAGCTTAAAGCTATGTGGGACGTGATAAAGCAAAATAAAAAACTCTATAGAAATGAATGGTATTAATGTTACACCTGATGAGTTCAACAGTCATTTTGTAAATATTACCAAGAATTTTATAAATAATATACCACAGGTGAAGACTAGTTTCAATGAGTATCTACCACAAGCTAATGTCAATAATTTCGAATTCAAAGAAGTAACTTTTAATGAGGTTAGAAGTGCGATACATATATAGTTTGAAAAACACAAATAGTAGAGATGTATATGGTATAAACACCATCATAATCAAGAATTTGGTTAATATAATTGTCATTTCATTAACAAAAACAATTAACAAAGGTATTCGAGATTCTGTTTTCCCTGTCCATTTAAAACTTGCCAAGGTTATTCCTATTTTAAAAAAGAATGATCCAAATGTTGTTTCTAATTATAGACCAATATCGCTTATACCCATTTTAAGTAAAATATTTGAGACCATTCTTAAAATACAACTTAATGCACATCAGGAAGGAAACGACTTACTGGATAGCTCTCAATTTGGTTTTCGTAATAATAGATCCAGGAGTTTAGCTGTTAGTACACTTTGTAATGAAG